CTTCATTTAAAAATATATAGTCATTTTTATATTTAACTAATTTTTCACCATGAATAATTAATTTTTAATTTTGCATTTTATACTTTATTATTTCAGGTTAATGAACTGAAAAATATGGCAAAAAAAAAAAAGAAAGAAGACATGGGAAGTCTACATTCATATTGTATCTCCAGTTCAAAACAAACACAAATCAGTACTTCAAATTACAATTACAAACCACTGCGGCAATTTTCAAGAAACTGTTTGTTCTGCTTCATATCACACTGAATTCCAGAACTATTGAAAACCAAAGTCCAGTGAAGATGAGGGATTTTGGGACCAATATTCTTATAAAATCAAAAAATTTAATAAAGCAGTTGGAAGAGATACCATTCCAAATTTAGGAATTTATCAACCCAAAACATTCTTTGAATTCGAGTGTAAGCAACACTCAACTCGTAACCGTAAAAGCTAAGGTTATACAGCTTTCAGGAACCAAAAAGTTCAACACACAAGAAATGGGCTAAAAATATTACACAATGTATGCTGATTGATCCATCGTGTTCAGTACAGACAACTCTTTGGGAAATTTTTATTCACAAAATTAAACATCCAAATTGCAGGCAAAAATGTTTGAAATGTTTAATAAGATGTCAATTTACAAGTGATAACACGTTTTTAAAAATACGTTTTCTGTAATAAACCGACTTATAACTAAAGTAACAGCCTTTATTGCTATCTTGTTACAAAATCGTGGATTCAGATTATATAGTTTTTAATTACCCTAAATGCTCAAAAAAGCACCGCGTCGTGGCTCTTAAGAGTATAATACTGTATTACCTTTTGTGTAACTAAAGAATTTGGGTTTTAAATACAACGTGTTAAGATGAATAAATAACACAATGAATACACAAGTCTTTCTTTTTTTTTTTGTATTAAAATGTTAATTTACTATGACATTGGACCTATGGTAGGCTTACTGCACTACAGGAATGCGAGATATGTAACATAGGTCCATAAGCACTTTTGGCTTTCTACCGGCCCACAGTAAGTGTCCCCTTTGGCGCGCCATACTAAGGCAATAGTTTATTTTTACGCGCTATCATAAGAAACTCCCTGTTGTGACTGCTAAGAAGTGATGACATGACTTTGGGAAGGAAGTGAAAGATTGTGGAAACGAGTAAATTTACGATTTAGCTGTTGTCTAAAACCGTACCACTACCCTTTACTGGTTGATGAAGCCGATGAAGTGTAGGCCTAGGTCAGTGTAGTGTTAATACTAGGTGATCATCATTTTTCATTTGTATACTCTTCGTTAAATATCGCCCTTTTTCTTGTGGAGTTCGATGGCGCAGTTGGTAAAAACACATGACAATTCATACTTACAAAAGCTTGACACTGATTTACTTGGTGGGGACCTGGTTCAAGCACAACGCCGTTGTAAATTTATTATTTCTTATCCGAAAAGCTTGTCGCTTAAATAATAGATGTATTATTCTTTACACACATTTACAACTTGTAATGCAAGTTATTTTTTCATAGTTAAATCAGTCGTTACTGAATTTAATATTTCTCCTCGCTAGGCTAGGCCTAGGCCTGGTGTGGTGGTGGAGCATGCATTCTTACCGAGCCAGCCAGCCACTTGGTGGCTAGGTTTGTCAGGTTAGGCCTTGCGTATGTTGTGGTAGGCGGGCCTAGCTGATAATAAACAAATTCAATAAACCAAAATTCAGTCAAATTATGTAATTACGGCTGAAAAAACTCTACCTTAAGCAAACCGGTCCAAAAATACAATGCATGGCATAATTGACCAGATACAGCTAGCTAGGCCTCCTAGCTAGTACTCGGTAGTAGTCTAGTAGAGAGCAGCATCATTGATTGATCAGACTGTGCGTGTCCCCAGCTGTGTGTAATGGGACTTATTGAATCAGGACATCAACTTTACTGTACTTATATTTATACATTTTTTTTTTTTTGGCAGAAAACAGAGTGAGGATAAAATGCATAAAATCTATCATCATAGGCCTTGAGTAAATACAAGTCCACACAAGTGAAAGATGGATGAGATCAAAGGAATCTGTCGAGAAGAAATAGCCCTCGAAGGGTTGGATGGTGAGAGACAATTTTAAGCAAAGGCTAACAGAAAAAAAATTACTTGAACCCCTCCCCCTTAGTTTCCCCCCAAAAAATCATGGACAAGTAGTTAAATAACCCAAAATCACCTTATTTTGCGAGTTAGCTCCCCTCAACTGATCATCGAGCAACTTTACGTTCGCGCCAGCACCCCCCTTTCAAGACTTCCTTATACGCCACTGCACTTTAATAATGTTCTTTAAATTGTGTTTGCAGGGTCGGATCCAGAGATGTCAGAAAGTAGTGGGGGGGGGGGAGTGTTTGGATGATCAATTTTTTTCTTCTTCTTTCATTCTTTTTTCCCTTTTTTTTTTTTTACTTTCCAAAAGGGGGCTGGAGCTTTGAAACCCCTAAAGTATCATATTTTTCGGGGGATTCACCCCCTTTAACACTTTCAAATGATTTTGAGCGACGCCCGGCCACGCCCACTTTTTTTTGTCAGGGACGAATTATATAGTTGACATACATGCTTTTACTATAAGTAGAAATGATCAAAAGTTGATATTAAAAAAAAAAAAAAAACAATCATTTGTTGTACTGTTTATAAATATTTCTCTTTGTAGCAATCACATTTAATGAAAAAGCAAATAAGTTAGATATATTTAAGTTCTATTGGGAGTTAATGAGATCTATTTTTGAATATCTACAAACCAGGAATAATGGGCGTAACAACCCTTTTCCCCACCTTTTTTGTGTCTTAGAAAATCAGTTGTACTACATATCAAAAAATTGTTTTTCTCCAGAGCCTGGTTTTAATCTGCTTCAGGGATGAAATTGTATATACTTGTAATGCCAGGTAAATGTTTTGGAGTGGAGTCTTGTTTTACAGTAGTTTATCATTAGTGTGTTTAGTACCAAAAAATTGAAATCATGTATCCACATACAACTCCACTTTGAAAACTCCATAAACTGTAATTAATGAATGTACTCACTGTTAGAAATATTTTATTTAAAACTTAGTTCCAGAGGAAGAAAAAAATTGTTGATATGTTGTACTACTGATTTGTCTAAGACACAAAAAGGGTGTTTGTTGAAAAACTCTGGAATGGTTGATGAGATCTATTTTTGAATATCTACAAACCAGGAATAATGGGCGTAACAACCCTTTTCCCCACCTTTTTTGTATCAAAAAATTGTTTTTCTCCGATCCAGAGCCTGGTTTTAATCTGCTTCAGGGATGAAATTGTATATACTTGTAATGCCAGGTAAATGTTTTTTTTTAATTCTTGCAGGAATCACTTTTGGAAGTTTGTGGTTCCGACTCCAAAATTGCATGCCTGCGTTTCCGTTACCGATTGATGACTACACTAAACCGTTTATCTGGGAGCTTATCTCATCCTTGGAAGATGTCAACTTCTTCGAGCTTCCTACAGCCCGGCCACCGATAACAGTTGCTGATGATGCAAAAGAGTTTTCGGAGTTACTAGCTACCTACGTGTGGTTTGACCAGGTATTTGAAGTTGACACTTTAAAGCCGGGTACTCATTGCGTCGTACAACAATCGTACCATGAATCCGACTCCTCTCCCTGTGAGCACTGGACGACACAACACCGTATACTGATTGTCGGTAGCAGTCTGAATGGATCGTCATTAAAAAATTATCTGTTGCGTGGCATTGCTTTCTCCATGTAATGGAGTCGGCAATTGACCTCCGGACGAAGTGAGTGCCTGGCTTAAAGGTGCAAGCCTGTCTGTGATGAGACTATTATCGTTATCATCTTCTTCCATGCCAGTAAAACAGTCTTTCGACATGTTGCACTAGACAAAAAAAATTTTAGCTGCAATTTATAATACAATTCAGTATTCAAAAACACTGATTTTATGTTATTGGCTTTCACATTGCAGAACTACCCAAAAAGATGATTAAATCTGTCCCTGCGTTATGTACATGTCGGTGTTCACTCGAAGCCGTCAATTTTACCAGTTGGGTAAAAATAACTGAGCAACCAGTAAAATTATGTGTTAGAATAAAAAAAAGCACTTATTTGGCCTAGGCTTGCCTTTTTTCAATAAACGCACATCATTCCAGTCAAGGCCTAGGCCTAGTTAGGCTGATTATGTAAATTATTGTTTTTTGAAGCCATTGAACTCCACTTAAAATACCACTGAAATACAAGGAGAGCAGCGATGGGAATTGAACCTAGGACCAAGAGATCTCCACATACAATGTTACCACCAGTAACCACCAGTTTACCCAACTGAACTATCTGACAGGCTTTGAACCCAGATCTGTGGAGTTTGAAGGCAGGCATCTTAGCCACCAAGCTATTCAACTCAACTCAACTCAATATTCATATTTTTAATTGAAAGCAAATAATGTATGTAACTATACAAAGTTAATAATCAAACAGAAAATTTTTAATATTAATTTATAGGTTGCAGTGGAACCGCAACAGGTGGTTAATGATGAGGAAAGTGCACTAAGGGGATGCTCAACCACTTACTACACCCGTAAAAACATTACTTCAGAAGTCCGCCCAGAAACAGGAAAAATCCTTACGTTTGCCGAAGTTGAAAGCAGGTGAGAATACAGGTGGTAGTGTCTATATTTGTATATATATATCAAAGCAGGTGATAGTACAGGTGACAGT